AATTTTCCAAGTTTCTAATTTTTTTTTTCAAAGACAAACAATTCCCAAAAAAAAAATCTTTTCATTTTTTCCTAAGATCAACTAAAATGGAATTAAAAATATGAAATATTGAAAAAAAAAATTAAAGTTTAAAAAAATATTTTTTTCCAAACAAATTTTCCAAATTTTATTTATTGTTTCCAAAGACAAAAATAATTCTATTTATTTTTTTCCAAAGATCAACTAAAATGGAATTGAAAAAATGGAAATTTTGAAAAATATATATTTTTCTAAATTTAAAAAATATATTTTTTTCAGACAAATTTTCCAAATTTTAGACAAAGAAGGCTTGAATTTTCCAAAATTTATTAAAAAAAATACATTTTGAAAAAAATATATTTTTTCAAATTTAAAAAAAAATATTTTTTTCCAAACAATTTTTTCAAATTTTATTTATTGTTTCCAAAAACAAAGAAGTCTTGAATTTTCCCAAAAAATGCTTGATATTTTTTCCAAAAATCAATTAAAATGGAATTTAAAAAAATTTAAATTTTGAAAAAATACATATTTTTCTAAAATATAATTTTTTTGAAAAAAATTTCCAAAAAATTTTTTTGTTTTCGAAGACAAAGATGGCTTGAATTTCCCCAAAAACAAATTGTTTTTATTTTTTTTAAGTTTAACCAAAATAAAATTTAAAAAAATTGAATTTTCAAAAAAAAAATCCAAATTTAAAAAAAACTTTTTTTTTTTTTTTTTGAAACAAATTTTCCAAATTTTTATTTTTTTTTAAAGACAAAAAAATTCATAAAAAAAATTATTTTAATATTTTGTTGTTGCAAAATGGTCAAAGATCAATTAAAATGGAATTTAAAAAAATGAAATTTTGAAAAAATATATATTTTTTTTAAAATTTAAAAGAATATTATTTTCAAACAAATTTCCAATTTTTATTTATTGTTTCCAAAGACAAAAATGGCTTGAATTTGTCCTAAAATTTCTTTTTATCTTTTTTTTAAATAAGTTTTGGAAAAAATATGTTTTTACAAATTAAAAAAAATAATAATTTTTTCCAAACAAAGGCTTGAATTTTTCCAAAAATTCCTTTTTTCAAAAATACAATTAAAATGGAATTAAAAAATTTAATTTTGAAAAAAAAAATATTTTTCCCGTTTTAAAACAAAAAATATATATTTTATCGAAAAAAATGTTTTCAATTTTTTTTTTTTTTGAAGACAAATAAGTCTTGAATTTTCCCCAAAAAAATCTTTTTATTTTTTCCAAAGTTCAACCAAAATGGAATTGAAAAAAATCAAATAAAAAAAAAATACAAAATATATTTTATATTTATATATATTTTTTTCAAACAAATTTTCCAAATTTTTATTTTTCATTCAAAGACAAAGGATTGAATTTCCCCAAAAAATGTCCATCGTGACCAATGCTCTAAATCGAAGTATTATGGCAGGCTAAAAATAACCTCTAAAAATTTAAATATCCAAGTTTGATACTATATTCGGTCCTGTTATATTTTATATGCAGATTTTTTTTATTTGAAGACCCATAGTGAAATTTCGTGAAAAGTATTTTTTCATTGAGACCAATTCTCTAAATCGAAGTACTAATGCAGAAATGGTCAAAGGTCTAAATAAAAATAATTAAAATAACATGAAAAATGTGAACCTCAATTATTCCGATATTTGAGCAATATTTTTTATATATACAGATTTCGGGTCTTTGGAGACCTATAGTGAAATAGCATGGAGAATTCGCCTCCAAATATAAAGGTTTGAATTTAACAGATTTTTTTAATGTACGAAAGTTTTCACCGATATTTTAGAGACATAAAATATATATATTTACACATTTTTTTGAGGATCTATAGTGGAACTTGGTGTAGAATATTTTTTCTATTGGCACCACCACACTAATATCACAAATTTGCGTGGAAAAGCCTTCAATTCGGAACTAAAAAAAATAACCCTAAAGAAATTAAAAATCCAAGTTTAAGCCGATGTTTGACCCTGATAAATTATATATACCGATTTATTTTCTTTGAAGACGAATATTGAAATGTTTCCATTGGGACCAATACTCTAAATCGAAGTTCCAAGGCAGAAATGGTCAACATTTTATTAGGAAATATCCAAGATTAAGCCGATATTTGACCAATATATATACTATATCCCGATTTCTTTCGATTGAGGACCCATAGTAAAATTTAATAAAGAAAATTTTCTCCATTGAGACGACCTCTCTAAAACAAAGTACTTTAGAAGAAATGGCTGCATTTGAAAAACATGGTTAAGAAATTAAAAAATGTGTTATACCCTAGGGGTTACGCCCATATTTATATGATATATGTTATATATACTAATTTCTATTATGTGGGGACCCATGGTGAAATTTAGTGTAGAATATTTTTTCCATTGACACCCCTCCTCTCAAACATAGTTTTTTAAAAGAAAAGAGTGCATTTGAAAAATACGTTTAACAGGCCAAAAAATTGTTATAACCCAGGGGTTACGCCCACATTTTTATGATATATATTTTATATACTTATTTCTTTAGTTTGGAGACCCCATGTGAAATTAAGTAGAGAACGTTTTCTTCATTGGGACCCTTCCTCTAAAACAAAGTTATTTGGAAGAAATGACCAAATTTGAAAAATACCTTTAACAAATCCAAAAATGTGTTATACCCCAGGGGTTACGCCTACATTTTTATGATATATGTTATATATACTAATTTCTATTATGTGGGGACCCACGGTAAAATGTAGTGGAGGATATTTTTTCCACTGGGAACACTACTCCAAAACTAAGTTTTTTAAAAGAAAAGATCGCATCTGAAAAATACGTTTAACAAATCAAAAAATGTGTTATACACCCCAGGAATTACGCCCCTATTTTCATGATATATATTTTATATACTCATTTCTTTTGTTTGGAGACCCCATGTGAAATTAAGTAGAGAATATATTTTCCATTGGGACCACTACTCCAAAACGAAATTTTTTAAAAGAAAATACCGCATTTGCAAAATACGTTTAACAAATCCAAAAAAATTCTTATACCCCATGGGTTACGCCCATATTTCCCCGATATAAGTTATATATACTAATTTCTTTTATGTGTAGACCCATATCGAAATTTAGTGGAGAATATTTTTTCCATTGACACTCCTCCTCTAAAACAAAGTTTTTTTAAAGAAAAGACCGAATTTTAAAAATACGTTTAACAAATCCAAAAATGTGTTATACCTCAGGGGTTACGCCCATATTTTTATGATATATGTTATATATACTAATTTCTATTATGTGGGGACCCATGGTGAAATTTTGAGACGAATATTTTTTCCATTGGGACCTCTTCTCTAAAACAAAGTACTTTAGAAGAAATGACCACATTTCAAAAAAATACGTTTAACAAATCCAAAAAATTGTTATATCCCATGGGTTACGCCCACATTTTTATGATATATGTAATATATACTAATTTCTTTTATGTGTAGACCCATAGCGAAATTTAGTGGAGAATATTTTTTCCATTGACACTCCTCCTCTAAAACAAAGATTTTTAGAAGAAATGACCACATTTCAAAAAAATACGTTTAACAAATCCAAAAAATTGTTATATCCCATGGGTTACGCCCACATTTTTATGATATATGTAATATATACTAATTTCTTTTATGTGTAGACCCATAGCGAAATTTAGTGGAGAATATTTTTTCCATTGACACTCCTCCTCTAAAACAAAGATTTTTAGAAGAAATGACCGCATTTGAAAAATACCTTTAACAAATGCAAAAAATTGTTATACCCCATGGGTTACTCCGCTATTTTCATGATATATATTTTATATACTAATTTCTTTTGTTTGGAGAACCCATGCGAAATTAAGTAGAGAATATTTTCTCCATTGGGACCACTTCTCTAAAACGAAGATCTTTAGAAGAAATGACCGTATTTGAAAAATACGTATAACAAATCAAAAAATGTGTTATACCCCATGGGTTATGCCCACATTTTTATAATATATGTTGTATATACTGATTTTTATTATGTGGAGACCCATAGTGAAATTCAGTGTAGAATATTTTTTCCATTGATACGCCTCCTCTAAATAAAATTTCTTAAAAGAAAAGGCCGTATTTGAAAAATACTTTTGACAAATCCAAAATTGTGTTCTACACCCAAGGAGTTACGCCCACATTTTTATGATATATGTTGTATATACTGATTTATATTATGTGGAGACCCATTGTGAAATTCAGTGTAGAATATTTTCTCCATTGGGACCTCTCCTCTAAAACAAAGTTTTTTAAGAGAAAAAAACGCATTTGAAAAATACGTTTAACTGATCAAAAATGTGTTATACCCCATGGGTTACGCCCACATCTTTATGATATATTTTATATATAATAATTTCTTTTATGTGGGACCCATGGTGAAATTTTGAGGGGAATATTTTTTCCATTGGGACCCCTCCTCTAAAATAAAGTTTTTTAAAAGAAAATACCGCATTTGAAAAATACGTTTAACAAATCCAAAAATGTGTTATACCCCAGGGGTTACGCCCATTTTATATGATATATGTTATATATAGTAATTTCTTTTATGTGGGGACCCATGGTAAAATTTAGTGAATAATATTTTTTCCATTGGGACCATATCTCAAAAACGAAGTTCTTTATGAGAAATCCTTATTATTTGAAAATTCGTATAAAATAACCTTACAATTTTATCTATCCAAGGTTATACCGATATTTTCATAATATATATTATATATACTAATTTTTCTTGTTTGGAGGGTCATAGTAAAATTATCTGTGTAACATTTTTTCCATTAGGTCCCCTCATCTAAAATTAAGTATAAAAGGCGATTTTAATAAAAATTCAGATGTAGACATAAAATACATATATCCGGTGGGTTACATCGATATGTTAATTATATTCAGTACATACAAAGTTCTTGAGTTCACATAACTATTCTAACATATAATGGAACTTATTTTTCAATATTTCATCTAAAATTGTTTAATTTTTTTTTTAAATAAAAATAATTTATTTTTTCAAAACTTAAAAATTAAAAAATGCATTCATTCATTTAATACTTTTTTCTTGATTTTCATATGCCCCACTTTTAATGGAACCATTCATTTGCTGTGGTTGCTGTTCCTGTTCCTCGGGTATGGCCTCCATGCTGCCTTTGCCACTGCTGGTGGAACTTTTTCGACTGGCAGATACTTGCTCCGTTTTGGACTCATCTCCACCACTTTCATTCCCCTCAATTGCATTCAGCTCCGTTGAGTGGCTATAAGCTTTGTTTAAATTCCCACCGTTTTCCTCTTCCACAAAACTCGGTGTCCTCGATGAGTTGCCACCAATCTCCGAACTGGCTGTGACCACAACCAAAGGCATTTGCCTCTGCCTTATTCTCTTGGCAATGGGTGGCACAAAGAGATCATATTTTATCACGGTCCTACTTTGATCGGTGTAGATTTTGTCATTACTAGCCCAATGGAGTTTTTCATACACCCAAGAACTTAGCCAGCCAATTACCACGGATATTAGGAAACCGCAGACGGCATACCACATATAGGACACACGATATAAATAGAAATAATCGGAATCTTCCTTACGCATTTCGAAGGCTGGATTAAAAATCTCTTTTATGTGACTTGTGGTGGTGGGTGTGGCCGGACACCCATCAGTTTCCAGCGGCAAACTGGGTATGGGTGGCCGGGGCTGGCCAAAACCAATCCAAAATGAAAATGCCAAACTCAGGGCCAAGCCGGTCAATGCTCCCTTCTGATTGGCCTTTTGGAAATACATGCCCAAGGTAAAGAGCCCCAGCAAGGGTCCTCCAATGATACCAAAAATCGACAAAGCAGCCTGTAACAGGCCACCCATGGATCCTGCCAAAAAGGCCAAGCCCAAACAAACTCCACCATAAATAATCGATAACAATTTGGAATAGAAAGTGGTCTTGGCATCGGAGAGCTCTTCCTTTTTGCGATAGCTAACCAAGGGTTTGATGTAATCTTCCAGGGTCACAGCGGCCAATGATGATATGGCCGAGGAAATTGTCGACAAACTGGCGGAGAACATGCCGGATACAAATAGCCCCGATATGCCTGGTATATGGCCCATGGTATCCACCACAAATAAGGGCATCAATTGATCACGGGAGGTGATTCTACCCTCCAGCAAGGGGTCACAGGTTTTGTAGTAATAATACATGCACAGCCCCGAAAAGCAGGTGGTCACACTGAGCAATATCAAAATGGGCAAACTCCACCACAGGGCTCGCCCTGACTCCTTGAGGGTGCGTACGGAAAGTAAACGTTGCACCTGGGTTTGATTGACACCATAAATGGCCAGATATGTGGCCAGGCCACCAATCATTTGGGTAATAAAGGTATGTCTCGTTGTGGGATCGACACTGAAATTAAAGAACTCCAGGCGGCCACCCTCCTTGGCGGTGTTCCAAATTTCTTCCAGACCGTCAGCTTTGATGGCAGCCGAAATGATAATGGCAAATATGGAGGCAAACATAAGTAGAGATTGGAAAATATCCGTAACCAGGACAGCTTTCATGCCGCCCACCGTGGCATAGAAGGTACACACCACACCCACAATGATAATGGAGAATACCAAATTCAGCCCCGTCACAGCTTCCAAGGCCAGGGCTGGGGCATAGAGCACAATGCCCATGTAGAGGATCATTTGCAAAGAAAACGCCAATGAGGCACACAGGCGGGCAGCATAACCAAAACGCAATTCCAAATATTCATAAACACTGGCCGTTTTCAGGCGATAGAATACGGGCAGTATTAAATAGACTGCAACAGGTGTTCCAACAACGTAGGATAAATTAATGATTACAAATTGGGTGCCATATTGATAGTTTTCCGCCGAGACACCTAGCAGAGTGACAGCCGACATAAAACTGGCCATTAAACTAAAGGCCACCGGCACCACAGACATGGAACGATCAGCCAGCAGATATTCTCTGGTCGTCTTCTGTTTGCCACCGGTAAAGCGATAATAGACACCAATGGCAGCCGACACAAGCAGCACAATGGCCAATATGGTGTAATCCCATGGTCCAAATTGAGCCATTTTCAGGTGTTTTTCTGAGTAGATTTTCTTCGAGTGGGTGTGGAAATTTACTTCAGGATCCTTTAATGTTTTTTTGCTCCCGAGGTTTCTCAAATTCTTTCCAGCTGTTGAGTTTGCTCAGTGGGTCATTGCTGATTCTGTGAATGGAAGGGAGTTTTATCACTGATTTCTTAGATACGTTTTTTGCCATATATTTTGCCATACAAATCGAAAGAAATTTATTCGGTGGAACAAGGTTTTGCCAAAGGATTTAGAATGTACCCCAAAATTGTTAGATTCCTGTGATAAATACGAAAGCTACAAATTACTTTTGTTTGGTGACCCATAGTGGAAATCAGTATGGAATATTTTCGCCATTGACAACTCCCCTCTAGAATAAAGTCTGGGGGAGGTAATTTAAAGTAAATTTAATTTTATTAAAATTGCCCGAAAATAAAATTATTGTCCGATTTTTGAATGCTATATTTTATATATTCCGATTTCTCGTGGTTGGGGACCCATAGTGGAAATAAGAGAAGAAACTTTTCTCCTTTAGGGCCTACATTCAAAATGCAAGTATGAGTTGAGAAAATGCCTGTTTTTTAAATAAACGAACCTATCCTACAAAATTAAAGATTTTACCCGATTTTTTTATTGCGTTCTATAATATATACCGACTTTTCCTATTCAGGTCCCATAGTGGAATTCAGATGAGAGTATTTTTTCCATTGAGACCTAGTCGCTAAAAGCAAGTATGAAGGGGGAAAAAGCCTGTTTTTCAAATAAACGAACCTAACCTACAAAATTAAAGATTTTAACCGATTTTGTATGCATTCTATTATATATACCGATTTTTCTTATTCGGGGATCCATAGTGGAATTTAGTGGGGAGTATTTTTTCCCTTGAGACCTAGTATCTAAATGAAAGTATGAAGGGATAAAAAGCCTGTTTTTGAAAATAAACGAATCTAACCTACAAAAATGATAGACACCCGTAATTATAACCGGTTTTTTAATGCTTTCTATTATATATAACGAATTTTCTTATTTGGGGTCTCATATTGAAATTCAATCGAGAATATTTTCTACATTGAGACTTAGTCTCTAAATGAAAGTACGAAGGGAGAAAAAGCCTGTTTTTTGAAATTAAACGAACCTAACCTACAAAATTAAAGATTTTACCCGTTTTTTAATGCGTTCTAATATATATAGCGATTTTTCTTTTTCAGGGACCCATAGTGGAATTTAGTCGAGAATATTTTTTCCATGGAGACCTAGTCGCTAAAAGGAGGTATGAGGGGAGAAAAGGTCTTTTTTGAAAATAAACGAATTTAAAATATAAATTTATAGATACCCAAATTGTAGCCGATTTTTAATGTGTTCCATTAAATATACCGATTTTTCTTATTCAGGAGCCTATAATGGAATTTAGTCAGGAATATTTTTTCCATTGAGGTCTAGTCTCTAAAAGAAAGTATGAGGGGAAAAAATGTCTATTTTTGAAAATAAATGAAATTAACCTAAAAAAAACTATAGATACCTGTAATTGTAACCGGGTTTTTAATGCTTTCTATTATATATACCGATTTTTCTTGTTCGGGTTCTCATATTGAAATTCAATCGAGAATATCTTCCTCACTGGGACCTAGTCTCTAAATGAAAGTATGAAGGGAGAAAAGCCTGTTTTTTGAAAATAAACGAACCTAACCTACAAAATTAAAGATTTTACCCGATTTTTGATGCATTCTAATATATATAGCGATTTTTCTTTTTCAGGGACCCATAGTCTGGAATATTTTTTCCATTGAGACCTAGTCGCTAGAAGGAAGTATAAGGGGAGAAAATGTCTATTTTTGAAAATAAATGAAACTAACCTATAAAAGTGATAGATACTCGTGATAGTAACCGGTTTTTAATGTTTTCTATTATATGTACCGATTTTTCTTATACAGAGACCCATAGTGGAATTAGTCGAGGATAATTTTTTATTTTTTATTTTGTCTAGTCGGTAGTAGGACGTATGATTGGAGAAAAAGCCTGTTTTTGAAAATAAAAGAATTTAACCTATAAAATTATGGATACCCTTAATTGTAGCCGATTTTTTAATGCTTTCTATTATATATACCGATTTTTCTTATTTGGGGTCTCATATTGAAATTCAGTCGAGAATATATTCTTCACTGGGTCCTAGTCTCTAAATGAAAGTATGAAGAGAGAAAAAACCTGTTTTTGAAAATAAACGAATTTAACCTACAAAGTTAAAGTTTTTACCCGATTTTTTAATGCGTTCTATTATATATACCGATTTTTCGTATTCAGGGACCATTAATGGAATTCAGTCGAGAATATTTTTTCCATTGGGTCCTAGTCGCTAAAAGAAAGTATGAGGAGAGAAAATTCTTGTTTTTAAAAATAAACGAATTTAACCTACAAAAACTATTGATACCCGTAATTGTAACCGGGTTTTCTATATTTTCTATTATATATACTGATGTTTCTTATGTGGGCTCTCATATTGAAATTCAATGGAGAATATATTCCTCACTGGGACCTAGTCTCTAAATGAAAGTATGAAGGGAGAAAAAGCCTGTTTTTTGCAAATAAACGAACCTAACCTACAAAATTAAAGATTTTACCCGATTTTTTAATGCGTTCTGTTATATATACCGAATTTTCTTTTTCAGGGACCCATAGTGGAATTTAGTCGAAAACATTTTCTCCTTTGGGATCTAATCTCTAAAAGAATATGTAGGACGAAAAAAAGACTTCTTTTTGAAAATAAATGAAATTAACAAAAAAAAATTATTTCTACCCAATTTGTACCCGATTTTTTAATGCGTTCTATTATATATACCGATTTTTCTTATTCGGGGATCCATAGTGGAATTTAGTCAGGAATATTTTTTCCATAGAGACCTAGTCGCTAAAAGAAAGTATGAGAGGAGAAAACGCCTCCATTTGAAAATAAACGAAATTAACGTACACAATTATTTTTAACCGAATTTTACCCGATATTTTAACGAGTTCTGTTATGTATACCAATTTTTCTAATTCAGGAACCCATAGTGGAATTTATTCAAGAATATTTTTTCCATTGAGACCTAGCCGCAAATAGGGATTTTGAAGGGAGAAATTTCTTGTTTTAGAAAATAAATGAAAATAACCTTTAAAAATGACAGATACCCGTAATTGTACCCGGTTTGTAGTGCTTTCTATTATATATAACGATTTTTCGTATTCTAGGACCAATAATGGAATTTAGTCGGGAATATTTTTTCCATTGAGACCTAGTCGCTTAAGGAAAGTATGATAGGAGAAAACGCCTTCATTTGAAAATAAACGAAATTAGACTACCCAAATACAGATTCCCAAATTGTACCCGTTTTTATAACGATTTTTCTTATACGCCCTCTCTTCATATTAGATACCCAGAGTAACATTTTATGGAGAACATTTTCTCTATTGAGACCCTATCCCAAAACGAGAAATGGAGCTAATTCCTTTGTTCCTTTTTCCAAATCCATTTGCAAAATCTTGTAAATTTTGTTCCACACCATTGTATTCAAGACCACAATTACACATTACCCTTTTGCGGGTTCATGGCCACAACAGCTATGATTTATATAGCAAAATATATATACAAAAAAAAGAAAACCGAACATAATTTCATTATATAGATTTATGGTTGTTTTTCCGATATTTATTTCTGGGGATTAGGCAACATTATCTGTTATTTTTTTCAAATTGATTCGAGTACTACTGAACGATGTCATCCATTCATTGATTACAATCTCCGCGATTATTTTGCTCTATATTATTGCGTAGGCTCTGGCTTCTTTGGTAGATTAATAATCTGGTTGCTTGTTTCACTTATTATTTTTTATATATTATTTATAGATAAGATTAAAATTAAATATAATTATTATGATTATTGTTATTTATTAAAGGGGTTAATTGAATCAAGTTATTAGACCAGACCATTGAAATGAAATATGTAAGGGGAAAAAGCTCATATATTGGGAAATCCCAAGTGTTGGAAAAGCCAAAATGTTAGCAAAAAAGTGCAAATTATGGTGTGGTAAAAGAATTCGGATATTATTTTGAAAATATTGCTTTTAACTGGTTGAAATATGTTTTCATAATTTTTTTTTTTTACAATTTCAAGTTTCCAACATGGTCGCCTTTCGATGGTAATTAAATGCTGAACTTCAAAACTATCTGAAGTTGCTAAAAAAAATTACTTCTTTGACGGGATATCAGACATAAATATAGCTTTTTCCTTCCGCCAGGTTATTATTCGAAAACTTCTCTTAAATGTATATTAAGGCTTTTTTCTTCCTTGTCTCCTTTTCTCTCTCTCTCTTGAATTTTATTTCAAAACACCTCTTTCCTTTAGAGATTATTTCCAGGAAATATTACTACCTTTAAAGTTTAATCTTCACGTGCTATACAGAAATTTTGCTTTGTCATCAATGCAACCTGAGATAAGTTAGCACCATTAACAAAATAAAATCTGTTTTATTACAGGCGATAATGTTAATGCCCATTCGATTTGAAACGCTTGAAATGTTTTGAAAAATATGGCCATAAAATAAAAAAATAATAATAATCTGGAGGAACAAAAGTGCCTAACATATGGTCAACATTTCGATCAGCACTGCTCAACATTCCAACAAGAAAGGCAAATCTGTCGAGGAAAAACTTGAATTGTTCTTGTTTCACTTTGACAGACTTTCTCGTCATTTAGGGGGGCCTTTAACAATGCCACACTTGAGGCAATTAACTGTTTCCTCTTTCAAAACTCATATGTTTCTCACTGAGTGGATCGATGATGTTCTCAGTAGCAGAATCATTAACTCAACCATCGGGGAAAGCTTCGTTAGGAGATCGGTTACTAGAGGCGCATCACAAGGTGTCTTGTGATAAATTACATATTTTCCATAGGCTGCAGGAAAATACCTGCAAACTATATCAGATCTAATGCGAGGAGATCTTGTCAAACTAACACACGGTCTGTGTGTGAACCCCATCTAAAACGGAGCTCTTTCTCTTGACAGAAAAACGGGAATTCCCAGAGTTCTCGTCACATATGTTGGATGGAGTCATGCTAAGCCTATATTTGGAAGCCAAATACCTCAATACTGTTGTCGACCAACAACTAAACTGGAAGAGGAATTTCGAGTAGCGTGCGTACTTACTTACTCGCATTCTACTCATGCAAGTACTCTCTAGGTAAAAACTGTGAGTCTATTACCTCATATTATCAAATGGAGTCAATTGTTCGACAATTCTCACCTATGTAGCACTCGTTTGGTGGCACTCTTTAAGAAGAACATCTTAAAAGAGAAGCATATCTGCCGATCACATATGCATTTAGAAGCTTACCCTAATCTGTGTTTGACACCCTACACATCTTGAATACCTTAAGTCTATTTGTAGAGCAACATGCCGTTAGGTATGTCCTGAGACTCAGAGAACTTGAACTCAGTGGACATTCGGTTGTTTTAAGGCATGTGGAGAATATAGGAGGTAGGGTCAAAACCAGTGACATTTTTCCTGAGCTCAACTTCGAATCACTGGACATCAATTTACCTAACAGAGCGATCTGAACCCGGAACCACCCACCTTTCAATGGTAAAGCCGTGTATGCCGATGGTTTAATAATGGAAAGTGCAACGGGTGTGCGTGTCTTCTGCGAAAGCCTGAATATCAGAAACTCCTTCAAACTAAACAACAATTGCAGCGTATTCCAGGCAGAAAGGTCTGCTGGCAAAGAGAAACATTGAACCGGCGACTTCAAGAGGCCCTGAAAGCTCTAAATTCATGTTTTTGATTGTAGGAATACACTGGAGAAACATTAAGTCGTCCATTAAGCATTGTTAGGTTCCAGGCCGATGTGGATCCGAGCCAATCAATCAGGATATGGAGAACTCGGTGAAGCCAACCTTTTGGCACTTCTTTCGAGTGATACATAAAAAATTCTACAGGCGATTTCAACAACAAAACTGTCTAAATGAAAGGGGGTGCAATTGGCCGGTGCTCTTTGAGAAGAGTTCAAGGTCCTACTTGTGGTGGAATTAATTACAGGTCACTGCAACGTAAGGTCCATGACTTAACAGTGGGGGGATGACGACACAAGACGAAGAGGGAACTGAAACGGTGGAGCACTTATTTTGCCACTATCCAACTCTTTTCAGTGTTAGACATAGGCTTATGGGGAAGCAAATTCTGCATGATTTCTTACTATTCACCGAAACTGAGCCAGCAGTCAGTAGACTAAAGTGGCTAAAGACGACACATGTTAATCTCTTCGTAGATCACATATTATTTCTATATTTTTTCGTTCTTCTCTTTCCTTTTTCTCTTGAACTTTAGAATGAACACAATGGACAAGCCTAACCTATGGTCGAAATCTGGACCTAGGGCAAAATAATGCATCAGATCTTTAAATACCGGCAGACCTTTTATAGAGGATTTTTTATGGATTGTGAAATTTTTAAGAAATTTTTCAACCTATATTAAGAGCATTGTTTTTTGCAGACTTTTTTTAATAAATTTTTTAAGAATTGGAATCAATTTTTTTATTTTATTTCTATGTTTTATTTCAATCTTTTTATATATTTTAATGTAGAGCAATCAGATTTTTTTTATTTTAGTTAATCTTTGGCATTATTTTATTTTTTTGTTTTTAAATTTTATTTATTTTATAATTTAGAAAAGCCAGATTTTTAATAAATTTTATTTTTAAGTAATTTATTTTGTTTTTAATTTTAAAATATTTTTTTTGTTAATTTTAGTTAATCCTTTTGTTTTTTATTTTATTTTAACATTTTTTTATTTTATGTATTTGTTTTGTTTTTTTTTTATTTTTTTTTTATTATTTTATTTTTATTTTACTTTATTTTCTATTTAATTTTAAAATATTTTTTATTTATTTATTTTTTGTTAATTTTAGTTGATCTTCGCTATTATTTTATTTTTGAATTTATTTTTTTGTATTTGTTTTTATTTATTATTTTTTTTATGTTTATCGATTTTTTAATTTAGAATAGTCGGATTTTTTAATAGTAATTATAAATTTTCATTTATTGTATTTTTAATTTAGGGTTTATTTTTAATTTAATTTATTTCGTATTTAATTTTAAAATATTTTTTCCTGTTCATTTTAGTTATTCTTGGCCATTATTTTATTTATTTTTTTTTTTTTTTTTTGTATTTTGATATTTTTTTATTTATTTTTTTTTTAATTTTTCATTTGTTTTTTTTTTATTTCTTTCGTTTTTATATTTTTTAATTTTTTTTTGTATTTGTTTTGTATTTTTAATTATTTTTTTTATTTTTATTGATTTTATAATTTAGAATAGTCGGAATTTTTGAAAATAAATTTTTATTTTTCATAAATTTTATTTCTCATTTAGCTTTAATTTTAAATTTCATTTATTTCGTTTTTAATTTTAAAATATTTTTTTTCTGTTCATTTTAGTTATTCTTGGCCATTATTTTATTTTTGATATTTTATTTTATTTTTGAATTTAATTTCTTTTATGTTTGTTTTGTATTTTTATTTTATTGATTTTTTAATTTGGAATAGTCAAATTTTTTAAAAAGAAATTATTATTTTTAATAAATTTTATTTCTAATTTAGCTTTAATTTTAAATTTCATTTATTTCGTTTTTAATTTTAAAATATATATTTTTTTTTGTTAATTTTAGTTATTCTTGGCCATTATTTTATTTTTGATATTTTATTTTTTTATATTTGTTTTGTATATTTATTTATTTTTTTATTTTAATTTAGAACAGTCAGATTTTTTTCAAAGAGAATTTATTATTTTTCATTTATTTTATTTCTAATTTAGCTTTAATTTTAAATTTCATTTATTTCGTATTTAATTATACATTTTTTTTGTTTTTTTGTCAATTTTAGTTATTCGTTGCCATTATTTTATTTTTATTTGTTTTTTTTTTTTTTTTTTGTATTTTTTTTTTTTTTTTTGTATTCTTTTTTTTTTTTTTTTCTATCTTTATTTCTTTTTTTATTGTTTATTTATTTTTTTATTTCGTTTTTTTATATTTTGTATTTATTTATTTTTTATTTTTTTATTTATTTTTTATTGATTTTGTAATTTAGAACATTCAGAAATTTTAATAACAATATTTATTATTTTTCATTTATACCACATTTAATTTAAATTTTATTTATTTTGCATTTTATTTTAAAATATTATTATTTTTTTTTTTAATTTTTTATTACTTCAGTTAATCTTTGCCATTTCTTTTTAGCAAATCTTTTCTTGATTTATTTGGAATTATCAAATTATGTTCGGTTTTCTTTTAATTGTTGGTCTTTTGATCTGAACTTATAATCACCTTGTTTGCAACACGTTTTTGAAATGAATGATACGCGGCGCTCGGATGTTGGCTGATATTGGCTAAAACGTTTCGTTTCGTCTCGTCTTATTTTTTGGCAAAATAAAGCTCTTAAAGCGATATTTAGTTATCTTTACCATCGACAGACGGGTGCAAGGGAAAATAAAAATCAGCAGTCACTCAGCCAGACATCTATCCAGACAGGTAGGTAGGTAATCAGACACCAATCCCAGGCAAATAATTCTCGGCAACAAATTGAACCATTTAAAAAACACTTGGTTGGTTGATGCGATTATACAATAGTTTTTGTGTCGGGAGGGAAATATTTAGGGCAGGGTACGGTACTATAATTAAATTTTATGAGACCAATTTCGACGCGCTCTCACTCACTCTCAACCCGGTAACTTCAAGCAAACAACCAACCAGCGGATGGTAGATTAGATGAATTGATGAACAATAGCAGTTTTTTGAAACGATAACAAGATTTACAAGTTGTTTTCTTGGGTATTTTTTTGCGACCACTGACTGGCAAGTGGTTCCACGTTTTCAATGGGTCGTGCTGTACCTCTAGACAATGCGATTTTAGACTTCCTATTCCGTTCAGCTACACCAAACAAATGCATTGAATCGAAATCGTTGTGTTTTTCGGTATTATGATAATAATTAACAACATTGTTGATATTGAGATAATAACAAAATTTTCAATGGCGTAAAGAGATTAACATTAACTGAACTTGAGTACAAATATCGCGGCAGAAGCAGCAGCAGCAAAAACAAGTACAAATACCAGAATAGAATTACCAATTGTTTTTAACGCCTGTGGAAAATTAACGCAAATATTGGCAAACACATGTGCCCACAACAACAGGGGGGCTTATAGCGAAATGAAAGTAGAGCTATAAAAGAGGTGCTATAAAAATTAATTAAAAAAAGATACAAGACGGTCGTAAGAAATCGGAAATTAAATGGGGACTTCTAAGGAGACTCAATAGTTATTTTTCTTTATTTCCAAAATGTTGTTTTTCAAAATATTCCATATCTTTTCCCGCTTTATTTTCAACCTTCATTGCCCCTATCGTTACCATCATTCCCTCACAAATAGCCTAGTCATTTTCTTATCTCTAACCCTCTTCTCTCTGCCGGTTTTCATAAATTTTTTAAACGTTTTGTTGCACATTTTTTTTCTTAATTATATTTACATCTGTTTAGTGTTGCCATAAATATAGCTATTTGTTTACACTGAAGGTGTTTTGTTGTGTGTAGAGCAGAAAATCGCTTTGTTTATATATGGATTTGATATCTCGTTGTAAAATTTAGAATATATATATCCTCCATGTCGATGATAATGATGATGATGATGATGTAGGCAAACAAATGGCAATAAAATGCAACAAATTAAATGGGTAGGTAAATAAATGGCTATATAAAAAACCAAGAGATAACTTTTTGCAGAAATATGGGAGCTATACCCAAAATCTAAGGCGTTCTCGATAAAATTTGGCAGAGGTATTTTTGAGCTCTATAAGATATCTGGTAGCAAATTTCATTGTTGTGGAATGCATATTACGAATATGAGGGACCTAAACAACAAATCGGATGAAACATTTATAAGGGAGCTATAGCTATATTCAAATCTGAACCGATCTCGATAAAATTTATCAGACGTATTTCTGGGCTGTATCTGATGTCTTGTACCAAATATCATTGTTGGCGAATGCATATTACAAATGTTAGGAACTTAAATACCAAATCGGATGAAGCATATATATGGGAGCTATAGCTATATCTGAACCGATTTTCACCAAATTTAATGTACTTGCTTCTAGACTGAATTCGGTGGGATGTACAGAAATTCAGGTCATTTGAACTGATATTGACCATTTTGATGCACAATTAACCCGAAATTGGTTGAAGATATATATGGGAGCTATATCCAAATCTGAACCGATCTTGACAAAATTTGATACACTTGTTTCAGAGCTGTATCTGATATCTGGTAGCAAATATCATTGTTGGCGAATGCATATTACAAATGTTAGGAACTTAAACCCCAAATCGGATGAAACATATATATGGGAGCTATAGCTATATCTAAACCGATTTTTATGTACTTGCTTCTAGACTCAATTTGGTCGGATATGCAAAAATTCAGGTAATTTGGACTGATATTGGCCATTTGGTGCACAATTAACACGAAATCGGTTGAAGATATATATGGGAGCTATATCCAACCGATGTTGACAAGATCTTATAAACTTATTTCAGAGCTGTATCTGATTACTGGTACCAAATATCATTGTTGTCGAATGCTTATTACGAATGTGAGAGACCTTAAACACCAAATCGGATGAAACATATATATGGGAGTTACAGCTATATCTGAACCGATTTTGATGTACATGCTTCTAGACTGAGTTCGGTGATATGTACCAAAATTTAGGTCATTTGGACTGATATTGGCTATTTGGTGCACAATTAACCCGAAATCGGTTGAAGATATATATGGGAGCTATATTCAAATTTAAACCGATGTTGACAAAATTTGATAGACTTATTTTAGAGCTATATCTGATGTCTGGTATCAAAGATCATTGTTGTGGAATGCATATTACCCATGTGAGGGACTTAAACAACAAATCGGATGAAACATATACATGGGAGCTATAGCTATATCTGAACCTATTTTCTCCTATTTTCCAAATTTGACGTACTTGCTTCTAGACTGAATTCGGTGGGATGTACCAAAATTCAGGTCATTTGGACTTATATTGGCCATTTGGTGCACAATTCACCCGAAATCGGTTGAAGATATATATGGGAGCCATAGCTATATCTGAACCGATTTTCACCAAATTTGATGTGCTTGCTTCTAGACTGCATTCAGCCGGATATGCCAAAATTCAGGTCATTTGGACTGATATTGGCCATTTGGTACACAATCAACCCGAAATCGGTTGAAGATATATATGGGAGCTATATCCAAATCTGAGCCGATCTCGATAAAATTTGGCAAAGGTATTACTGAGATCTATAAGATATCAGGCAGCAAATATCATTGGTGTCGAATGCATATTACGAATGGGAGGGACCTAAAACACCAAATCGGATGAAACATATACATGGGAGCTATAGCTATATCTGAACCGATTTTCTCCGAATTTGATGTACTTGCTTCTAGACTGAATTCGGTCGGATATGGCAAAATTCAGGTAATTTGGACTGATATTGGTCATTTGGTGCACAATTAACCCGAAATCGGTTGAAGATATATATGGGAGCTATATCCAAATCTGAACCGATCTTCATAATATTTGACAGAGGTATTTCTGGACCGTATCTGATGTCTGGTACCAAATATCAATATTGTCGAATGCATATTACGAATGTGAGGGACACCAAATCGGATAAAAAATATACATATCTGAACCGATTTTCACCGAAGAAAATAGTGACGTCTCAAAGGGAACAACAGTCCATCTTGTTTGCTTCAGTGGTGGCCAAAAAGGATAATGGCGAATAGAAAGGCGAAAGCCAATACTGCCGGTAACCGGATGATATCAGAAGACATTTTGTATGAACACCACCCGATTGAGAATTTCAATATTTTTTCAAACATAGATCAGACTAACATTTGAAATTTTGCTAAAGGATATAAGCGGATGTAACTCGGACGGTTGGTGTGATGCCCGAAAGTCGTTACACATTCTCAAACCAGATAGAGGAAACAAATTTGTTCACTCTTCAAAATGTCTGCATGAGAATATAAAGAATAACATGTTTCTGCCCTATCAAACCTATCCAACCCACTCCAGTGGATCTTTGCCTACATCCCATATGAGTTGGTGAATTCCCAAACCTGGACTTGTAACAACAATAGACCTAGTTGTTACATGCAGCCGTTATTCGACTGCAATAGATGGGAGTGGACTCCGGGGATGGCTTCAAACTGCAATGGTAAACTGCATTATTATGAATTTTATTCAGAACTGCCGGATAGGCTTCTTGGGTCTTTCTTTCTAGATCATGCAAGTCCTTGCAGACACACCTGGGTGGGGTGAGTTCTGTCTACGATATAATGATTAGAATGACTCATACGGTAACATTCAAGCAGGTACTGCAACGAAATCATATGATTATGCTGACGCAAAGGAAGAACCTTTTAGCAAGAAAGTTCCACAATTGGTTAAAAAATGTGGAACGCTTTACGATCCTTGCTTTACATCCTTGCGCAGGGGCCATGCTAATCTTCTCTCCTTATGTAAATGATCCACTGGAGTCATGAGACAACCTGTTGCAGTTCTTAGGGTGGCATTCTGGTAGGTCTGAATACTTTTTAGTTGAGCCAAAACGTTAAATATTTCGCCACTGCATCAGTATGAAGCTATTCAGATCTGCTTGCTAGTCTTCCTGATTTAAAGGCTCTTCCTACTTTTCAATTTGTTGCAAATAGCTGTGGTTTGCGCAAACGACTTGAATATGCTGTCGAGTGTGACCCTAAGGATTTTGGGTTAGTTAGTTCTGAATTATGTGCTACTGCCCGATTTGCACATTCGGCTGTGTTCTCATCTCCGCAGGCCATACAGTAGAGTGTGACCGCTGATTTAGTGACGGGTATTTTTACATTCCTCGCATGAAAGAATTCGATAAGCTCCGCCAGATAGGTGTTCACCATGTCACATATGTCATCAACGACAATTATTTGTTGTTCTTATTGTTATCAAAGAATGGGCTGGGTTATTTTTTAGCCTAAGTAAATCTCAGCTCGTTCTGGACCATCAACCCAACTCTCGTTGGAACTAAATTTAGGCAGCTACAATATTGACATATAATAGAAAATAAAAAATAATCCCTTCAGGATCGTAAGTTTTTTTTTCACTTTTGTTTATAAGGAACACATTTCATGTTTGTTTGTTTTGTCACTTAAGTCACTTTTTTCCCTGGATTAAGGGAAGTTCCCCTTTTGCGTTAAATGTTCTTACACACTTCTTAACCTATCTAAAAATAATAACAAAAAAATCTCTTTTTGGACTCACCGTCACTTGATACCAGCCAAATTGACTTATAGATAATTTACGTCCTTTGCCAAATTTCCCCTTGGGAACTGGCGAGCCTTTACGCCTTGGGCCCTGTGAACGATCCTCATACTGCAACACAGAAAGTGACTAAATGTTTAAATGAATTCTTTGGCAACAACATCACACAATAAAAACAAAATCTTTGCCTACATTTAAGTTGGTGACCAAACCATCCATGTCCTCATCGTCCTCCAAACGGGAACGCAATGCCAATTCATTGACGCGACCTTTTATGCCGCCCTTACTCTGCAAGGCCGATGGCTTGAAGCTGACACGACGTGTGGTGTTGCGTTCCTTTTTACGGCCATCGTTAGAGCGATCATCGTGATCTAAAAACAATGAAAAAAATTCAATTAAAAACATAAACAGGTATTTCGCAATAATTACAATGTATCCCACCATTTTGGTAGTCATTTAAGGCTGAAAATCGTGAACCACCACCTTGGCCACTGTTGTAATTTGGACGTTGTCCACCTCTGGGTTTAGGCATATTTGTTTAAATAGTATTTAAATATATTTTTGTGAAAAACTAAATAATTCCAATTCCAGTAACACGAGCTTCTTGTTTTTCTTCAACGAAATGATGCAAAAAAATTCTTCTACTCCGTCGTTTTTGTCTCTTTTTTTGTGTAAATGCCAGCCGCGTGTGTGTGCGTTGTTGTTGTTGTGTGTGTGTAAACGAAGCTGTCAAAGTTTGCATGAGGAGGGTTGCATTCATGGGCAATTGATAACACAGCGTTGTATCATCCAGCACTAGTTGTGAGTGTTGCCACCTAACGTGGCATGTGAACCCTAAATAAGGCATTATAATGGAGTGCATGTGAAAGAGAAAACAAAAAGAGAGGGGTTTCTTTAATAATTTGATAATTTCCTATTTTAAACGATAAAAATGTGCTGTGAAATGACTTTTTTAAATTTTGCAAGCCTTTAAATGTTATTCTTTATCAAAATGGTCTGTAATCCATATAAAATATTATATCACCAGACGTATCACAGCATGTGAATCCTATTTGATGTATTTTAATAACAGTTGTCTGAAATGGAAAATAAATGGATTTTTTAAAGAAAAAGAAGTAGATATTCCAGAATTTTATGTATGAAACGTTACATTAACATATTAGATCGGCTGAAACTGGGTAATATATTTATTTTGAATTTACATACTCTTCTTATGCACTCCGAGTTATAGAAGGTTTACATTAAGCTTTTCAGAAAGATATCTTGTATTTAATGCAAAATCAAAAGTAATTTCATATAAGTGACGTATTGTACTAAAATACGTTTAATGTTCAAGTCGCCATAAAAAAAACTAAAAAATCACCTTTAAGAAAAAGAAATGGACGATATTTCCAAGTGTAGGGTTTAATTTAATTTAAGTAGATATAATTTAATCCGGAAAAATGCATATTAATGTCAAATTATGTAACCACAACTTTATTATCCGGACGTTCTTAAACCAGGGACACAATGAGAATGTCTAACTTTGCATGATTTCGTGGGATTTTTTTTAGCTGGCACGATATTTGAGCTTGGGCGCCAGTAACATTTTTAGGCAAATCTTATGTTGAGCAAGAAATTTCATAAAGTTCCGAACAGAATGAGAATGTCTTACTTTGCATGATTTCGTAGGATTTTTTTCGCTGGCACGATATTTGAGCTTGGGCGCCAGTAACATTTTTAAGCATATCTTATGTTGAGCAAGAAATTTCATAAAGTTCCGAACTTTTCAGGTCTATTAACTGAAAACCTTTCTTTAAAAATATAATTTTTGGTCTAAGCTTGGGCGCCACCAAGACATTCATATCAAAATATTTAGAAGATAAATTTTTTCATGGATTTTAGTCATTCATAGGCCTTTGGTGAGGGCTCCAATATATTCTAGGGCTTTTTTTTGAGCCCATTTGGGAAGGCTTAAAAATGTTTATGGATAAGCTTGGGCGCCACCAAGAAATTCATAGAAACATTTTGAGAAAATTGTTTCTTGGATTTAAAGCGATTTCTAAGATTTTTTAGAGAAACAAATATTTTCTTTTGAACTTTACAGGACTATTAACTTTAAATCATTCTTAAAAATATAATTTTTGATCCACAAAGCTTGGGCGCCAGTAAGACATTTATACAAATAGTTTGAAGATAAGATTTTTTACGGATTTTTAGTGATTAAAGGATCTTTGGTAAGGACTCCAAGATATTCTTGGGGTTTGTTAGAGTCCATCTGCGAAGGAGATTTTCTTAAAAGGCCGCCAGTCAAAAGAATTTCTACGGATTTTTAAAGAGGTCTACAGAGCTGTCGTCGAAAATACCATTGCCAAATTTTATCGAGATCGGCTAAGATTTGGATATAGCTCCCATATATATCTTCAACCAATTTCGGGCTAATTGTGCACCAAATGGTGAATATAAGTCCAAATGACCTGAATTTTGGTACATCCGACCGAATTCCGTCTAGAAGCAAGTACATCAAATTTGGTGGAAATCGGTTCAGATATAGTCGGCCCCGCCCGGCTTTTAAGTTTTCCTTACAGGTTTTCAGATGGTTTCATTCATTCCCTACTTTCCCGGTAAATATACTACTCACTTTGTACATCTTGTCTTTCTGCCACAAAACATCGACTGGGCACCTCAGTTGGGTGCAGTTGAACACAAAAAAAAATATTTTTTTTTAATTAATTGGCCATTTAATTTGTCGGTCATTATCGCATTTCCATGGCGTATGTCATTCACTCACTCACACGTCATTTATTCACACTTCAACAATTAATACGTGCAGTTAATTGGTAACGAACGTGGAAAGAGAAAAAACAACAATAAAAACAACCGCAAAACAATTAATTGTTTTGTATGGGTCTTGAACTGAGTTTTTGTGAAAAAAAAAAAATAAACAACAATAAATTGATTAATTAGCGCCAGGCTAGAGCCATTGCATTTAAATTGCATTCCTTTAGTTAAACGTCAAAAGGGAAAGAAAGGGAAAATTGTTAAGTTGTCAGCTAAGACATGGCATATAATGGCACCTATTGTTTGGGTGCCAGACAAATGCAAGGCAATGTTATTTGTTGGGTACCCAGTTCTATTTTACCTCCATAAACATTACTACCCCATTTCATTATCTTGGCATGGCGCACTTTCTCCCTTTCTATCTCTACGATCCTCTCATTTTATGTCCTCTCTGTTCTCTTTGATTTTTCCCCTTCTCCAACCATGCAAATTTTATGAACATCTGCTCAGCTGTCTGGCATGTGAGCCGCACTAATGAAAGTGCTTTGTTTGTTTGTTTACATTTTGGTAGGTGTGAAATTTCCCATAGATGGGATACATTGTCGCTCTCTCTCTCTCTCTGTTTTGCTATTGCAAACAAGCAAGCACACCAGGCAAACAATGAATTCATTTAATTTTTTCATGAATGAACATAATTTCCCTTCGAAAAAAAACGAGTAACACCAACACACACACACACACTTGCAGTGCCATGCAATTGCAATGCATGCATGTGTGTGCAATATTCTTTTCTGTTCGTGGAAAAGAGAATGTGTCAAACTGCTGTGCTCTGCTCTTTTGTATGCATGTTTTTGTTTCGAGATAGCATTGCAGCTTAAATGCAAGCGTTGAATGTAAAAATAAAAGAAAACTCTGGCAAAAAGGGAATGCAAAGTCAATGGACGTTAAAGTACATGACCGAGAATGTTGTGTGGGGAAAAGTAAAAAAAAATACAAAGCTCTTGCTGTAGTTGTTGTGTGATACACTGAGAGAATGGGAGATAATTGAAAAAAATGCACATAGGAGGAGCTACGGTTCGGTTTTTAATTTAAATGAAGGATGTTTTATGAGCCAAATATGAGCTGTCACCCTAATATTAATTTGTTTTTTTTTTATTCCAAACAGATATTAAAAATAAATGCTGCTGCATTTCTGGTAAAAGTATAATGGAGAAGTGCGACCTAATTCAAAGGCGGCTCTGTGGCTCAACCTTCAATTCATTTCGCTGTCAAAAAAGGGAAATGCTTGATAAATCAGTAAGAAAAATTTATAGTTATAGGTGTATCTGAACCGATTTTCACCAATTTTTTCATGTACTTGCTTCTAGACTGAATTCGGCGGTATGTGCCAAAATTCAGGACATTTGGACTGATATTGGCCATTTGGGGCACAATTATCTCGAAATCGGTTGCAGCTATATATGAGAGCTATATCCAAATCTGAACCGATCTTGATAAAATTTGGTAGAGATATTTCTGGGCTCTATAAGATATCTGGTACCAAATATCATTGTTGTGGAGCGCATATTACTAAGTGAGGGACCTAAAACCCCAAATCGGATAAAACATATATATGGGAGCTATAGCTATATCTAAACCGATTTTCAGCAAATTCCATGTACTTGGTCCTAGACTGAATTCGGTTGGATATGCCAAAATTCAGGTCATTTGAGCTGATATGGCCAATTTGGTGCAAAATTATCTCGAAATCGGTTGAAGCTATATATGAGAGCTATATCCAAATCTGAACCGATCTTGATAAAATTTGGTAGAGATATTTCTGGGCTCTATAAGATATCTGGTAGCAAATATCATTGTGGTCGAATGCATATTACGAATGTGACAGGCTTAAACACCAAATCGGATGAAATATATATATATGGGAGCTATAGCTATATCTGAACCGATTTAATATGCTTATACTTTTATCGGCATAAATGTAAAGTTAACTGGCCACACTTTCAATCATGTATACCACTGTTCAGCCAGAGTATAATTTTTAGGCCAATTTCTAAGAATGACTGGCCACACATCATTTTTACATAGAGGTGGTTCTCATGATGCCATATCTCTCACCCAACTAGTAAAGGTGACTAGCCATACATTGAATTTCATGTACTTGATTCTAGGCTGAATTATGTTCGGTGTGCCAAAATGCAGGTCATTTGCACTGATATTGGCCATTTGGGGCACAATTATATCGAAATCGGTTGAAGATATATATGAGAGCTATATCCGATCTTGATAAAATTTGGCAAAGCTATTTCTTGGCTGTATCTGATATCTGGTAGCAAATATCATTGTGGTCGAATGCATATTACGAATGTGAGAGGCTTAAACACCAAATCGGATGAAACATATATATGGGAGCTATAGCTATATCTGAACCGATTTAATATGCTTATACTTTTATCGGCATAAATGTAAAGTTAACTGGCCACACTTTCAATCATGTATACCACTGTTCAGCCAGAGTATCATTTTTAGGCCAATTTCTAAGAATGACTGGCCACACATCATTTTTACATAGAGGTGGTTCTCATGATGCCATATCTCTCACCCAACTAGTAAAGGTGACTAGCCATACATTGAATACAGTGTATCGCCTAGACGAATCATTGTTTTAATTTGTAAATTTATATATAAAGGTAACTGGCCACAAATTCAATCATGTATAGTACTGTTCATCTACATTGATATTTTTAGATTTATTTCTAAAGCTTACTGGCCACACATTATTTTGCTTTTGATGTGTTTCACCTAAAGCCATATCTTTCACCCAATTAATAAAGATTGCTGGCCACACATCAAATTTAATTTAAAAGTAATTGCCTAGACGAATATTTGTTTCAATTTGTAAATTTATATATAAAGGTAACTGGCCACACATGCAATCATGTATATTACTTTTC